GCAGGCACCTGTAGTCCCAGCTACTCAGGAGGCTGAGGCAAGAGAATGGCTTGAGCTGAAGAGTTTGAGGTTGCTGTGAGTTATGATGCCATAGCACTCTGCCAAGGGTGACAAAGTAAGATTGTCTAAAAAAAAGTAAAAATACAAAAATAAAAAGTGTGTATGTTCCATTTATCCATAAATAAATAAATAGAAAAACACTGTGGTTTGTCATTCCAAAAGATTAAGAAGTTTGAAAATAGACCAGGCATGGTGGCTCGTACCTGTAATACTAGCACTCTGGGAAGCTGAGACAGGTGGATTGCTTGAGCTCACAAATTTGAGATCAGCCTGAGCAAGCGTGAGATCCCATCTCTACTAAAATAATAATAATAATAGAAAAAACTAGCCAGACATGGTGGCACATGGCTGTAGTCCCAGCTACTCGGGAGGCTGAGGCAAGAGGATCACTTGAACACAGGAATTTGAAGTTGCTGTGAGGTAGGACACCACAGCACTCTACCCAGAGCAATAGAGTGAGACTTGATCTCAGAAAAAAACAAAAAAAAGTTTGAAAACACATCAGCTTTGGTGAGAAAAGTAAACCTCTTCAGCAGAAGAAAATCTTAGGGCAAAATCGATGTGAGCTTTTTTTTTTTTTTTTTTTTTTTTTGCAGTTTTTGGCCGGAGCTGGGTTTGAACCAGCCACCTCCAGCATATGGGATCAGCGTCCTACTCCTTTGAGCCACAGGCGCTGCCCTCGATGTGAACTTTTTGAAAACAGTTTGCCAATATCAGAATATACCCTGTTAGATCCACAATCCCATTTCTAGGATTTCAAGATTTCAAAAAGAATGAGGTAGGTGTTTCTGTGTTGTTTGTGACAATGTCTAGGATGTTGTTGGCCTTTAAAAAATGGAGAGAACTGGGGCAGCGTCTGTGGCTCAAAGGGGTAGGGTGCTGGCCCCATATGCCAGAGGGAGGTGGTGGGTTCAAACCTAGTCCCAGCCAAAATAAAAAAGAAGAAGAGGAAGAAGAGAACAGGCTAGGCACCTGTGGCCCTGGTGGCTAAGGTCCCAGCCACATACACCTGAGCTGGTGGGTTCAAATCCAGCCTGGCCTGCCAAACAATGATGGCTGCAACCAAAAAACAGCCAGGCGTTGTGGCAGGCACCTGTAGTCCCAGCTACTTGGAAGGCGGAGGCAAGAGAATGGTTTGAGCCCAGGAGTTGGAGGTTGCTGTGAGCGTGGTGCCATGGCACTCTACCCAGGGGGATAGAATTCATTAAGCATAGTTACAATTTATTAAAACATTTCCATACTGATGAGCATTAAGTTCTTGCAGATTTGCTACCACAAACAATATTGCACCTAAACATTCCTTTACATGTATGTATATACATGCGTGTTTATTATATATCAACACCTACGTGTATGTTTTTATTTCTATAGGTTAAATAAACCAAAAGTCAGTTTGATGAGTCAAAAGACATACGAGGTTTAATTTTGAATTGTTTTTGCTAAATCACACCCTTCAAGTACCTATATTGGCAATAAATACATTTTTAACACACACATATACACAGAAAAGTTGAAATCAGAGACATTAAAATTGTTTAAAAAGTGTGTATGGGCTTGGCGCCTGTGGTTCAATCGGCTAGGGCGCCAGCCACGTGCACCTAAGGTGGCGGGTTGGAATCCAGCCCGGGTCCGCCTAACAACAATGACGGCTGCAATCAAAAAATGGCCGGGTGTTGTGGCGGGTGCCTGT